GCCTGAGGGTGAGTACATTTTCAGCAAATGTTCATTTTTGGATGATCCATTCCTTTAAAAATTAAAATTAATATACTGTATATGCATATTGAAAATAACAGAATAAATTATGAATGCATAAAGTGTCTAGAACTATTGCATGCCTTTATATTACTTGGAGCCATTTATGATGCTTTTTAGTGCTTATTTGTGTGTGTGTGTGCGCGCAGTATCTCCCAGTCTTTGTTAATGTCAGGCTGCTCTGCTCATCAGCATTCATGTCTGCTCGCTCGGTTTCATCAGTGTGAAACATGACCCTGGCCGACAGATCTGTGTGTGTGTGTGTGTGTGTGTGTGTGTGTGTGACAGGTGCTCTTATCAGGACGTGGATGGTGTAATAGTCTCGACCTCACCCATAAATCCACATTCTTGTCCTCTACTGCACGCCATTACCACATCAGCTAATTAAAGCTTTTGCTCCTCTGCTCCACTTCAATTGCTGTTATGGTGAAGAGTGAAAGCTGATATGATAGTATGAATGTGATGAATGCATGAATGAAGCAGGTGAAGTTTGCGTCTCCTCTTGCTCTGTAGATCTGGGACACGGCGGGACAGGAGCGATTCAGGAGTGTGACGCACGCTTACTACCGAGACGCTCACGGTGAGTTGCATTGTATTGCACGAAGACTGCACAAATAATTTTCTTTATCAAAAAAGTTACATAGAGCAAAAAAGTGAGATGGAAGGAAACAAAGAGGAAAAAACAAGAAAAATGTATTGCCTTGCAAATGAAAACTCAAGTTACTTGTAATGTCTTCATTATATTTTTAATGGAAAACAAGACAAAAAACAGATTAAGAAAGTGTTTTTTTTTGTGGTGTTAAAATTGCAGACACATTCTGTGCAGGAATTACAACGCTATAATTGGTCTCTGATATTAGAAATGGTTTGCCAGTGTTTTTTGCTGTATTTGATGCTTTTATTAATAGAGTTCTAAAAATGGCACATCTAAGCCGTTTGTCACTCTGTATCGCTCTGTTTATCCTTCAGTTTCTCTCTCTCTCCTAGACTTAAATGCACATTGTAGTATATATATGACCCTGGACCACAAAACCAGTCATAAGTGTCAATTTTATGAAATTGAGATGTATACATAATCTGAAAGCTGAATAAATAATCTCTCCATTGATGTATGGTTTGTTAGGATCGGACAATATTTGGTCGAGATACAACTATTTGAAAATCTGGAATCTGAGGGTGCAAAAAAATCAAAATATTGAGAAAATCATCTTTAAAGTTGTCCAAATGAAGTTCTTAACAATGCATATTACTAATCAAAAATTAAGTTTTGATATATTTACGGTAGGAAATTTACAAAATATCTTCATGGAACATGATCTTTACTTAATATCCTAATGATTTTTGGCTTAAAAGAAAAATCTATAATTTTGACCCATACAATGTATTTTTGGCTATTGCTACAAAGATACCCCAGCGACTTAACACTGCTTTTGTGCTCCAGGGTCACGTATCAAATTTGTGTAAATTTACTTTGGACGTTAAGTGGCGACCCAACACAACAGATTATTGTCCAATTAAAATTAAAATGCTACTACAAATGTATTAATGTTACCATGAACTGCGCAGGCCCGACATAACCTGACATGTTAATAACTGAATAGGAATTAATAAGAATATAGAAATTTTGTAAATGCATAAACAACAGCAGAAGGGTGATTTACTCACGAACCAATTTTAGATGTAGTTTGATTTTCTTTTATCTTGTGTTTGTTTTGACATGTTAATAATTGAATATGAATAAGAAAATATGTATAAACGATAGCAAAAGTGTGATTTACCTGTGAAAACCATTAAAATAATGTTCTAAACAGATATTATTATTATTTTGCAGTGAACCCATTTGTTGTAGTTTTGAACTGAATAGCAATAAAAGAGCAGCAGAAGTGTGATTTACCCGTGAACCCTTTTAGATGTAGTGTGCATCATATTTTCTTTTATGTTGTGTTGATTTGTTTGTGAGGGTGAGGCATGTCACGCATCTGTCTTATATAGCTGCTTCTAGATTGCAGATGAAATACTGATTGTACCATTCAATGTTAACAACAAAAGAAATGGGAAGCATTTTTTGAATACCTATTTATTTACACATGATTATATGGTTAGCAGCATTTCATCAATTGCATTCAGCATTGTTTTTCTGCTGTTAGAGCAGACCTCGCAACCCACCAGTTGAGATTCACTCATACATGACTACCAAATTTCTCTCACATTTCACATGTCATAAACATGATCTCCTGCCAAAACAATATCGGCGTAGTCCAAAGGAAAAAACAGTGCTTTATTTTAATGTTTTTCTCACTCATAAAAAAACATTTTGGAGAAATGTTAAGAATATTGCATTTATATTCTGGGTTCATTAACTTGCATGTAGATGGATAGTAGGATTATGCATAAAGTTCAAAGGTTTTTTTCATTATAGTAGTTTATATGGCAGAGAATTTGGCTGTTAAAAGTTTTGTTTTTGCTGTGTCTTGTTGTTTCGGCTTTAGATAATGTTTATGACATGAAAAATGTGAGAGAAACTGTCATTGAGTCATTGTTTCAGAACATTAAACCATGTTGTGTTTTAGGATGTTACTTTATTCTCATAATTTAAAACTTGTGCAAATTCTGTATAAGACTAGAAACACACCGAACTAAGACAACGTGTTTGGCACATGGTTATTATAGTTAACTAAAACTAAAACTGAAACTAGAAATAAAACCATAAAACAAAATAAATGTTATCTGAAAAAAAAAATATATATTTTTTTTAAACTTTTGTTTAATAAAAACGAATGTTTTAAATATAAAATTTTGAATACTGAAATATGAAATTATAAAAAAAAAAAAAAAAT